TACTCTAATAGTCTCTGAAATTTTACTGAAAAATTCTCTGAAAAACTCTGAAACGTGTCCGAAATTCTAGAGTTTTTCAGGAAAATTTTCAGACTTTTCCAGAGAAATTTTCAGAGAATTTCAGAAAAATTTTTGTACCAGGGAACCGTCCTTCTCCCAGTGGCCACGTCCACGATGACCAGTAGACCCAAGAAGCACAAAGTTATAATACAAGAAAGTTTTTACAACTTTATAAAACGTTTGTACAATGTACATACTGAAAAATTATATGACTAAAAAGTTAATGTCGATTATACAACTGTTTGTAGTTTTTATAATGTCTATACGACTATGTAAAAGTAAGTCGACATATTGGTATTCATTTTAAGATTTTGTAATGTCTGTACGACTTATATGTTAGCCGTCTTGTAATATTTATTACAAGTTTTTCAAACGTCTTTACGACTCTTTAAAAATTAGTCGTCTTATGATATAAATGTTACTGTTTTTGAAACATTTATACGACTCCGTATATTTAACCCGACTTTTGAGTCATAATTTTAGGTTTTTAAAACGTTTATACAACTGTGAATATGGACGTTAATTATTACGTAGAAATTGTGTATGTTTATAAAACATTTATTTAACTTATTTATGTAACTAAACTATTTATACAACTTATTCATGAAATAAGTTTACTGTGATGTTTAACCATAATGGGGAAAAAAGTGTTTAAACATAGTAGTAGTTACTACAGGAGAGTAAAATATTACTTAAAGCAGCAGCCAGAAGTTACTGAGATAAATAGAACGTGCAAAAATGATGCACCAGAAATTCAATGTCATGAATCAAAAGCGCAATCAACTAATGGAGATCACGGACCACCAGAATCTGCAGCTTCAAATTTATTTTTCAAAAGTGCTCCACGTGAAAATTATTATGAATCCATAAATGATTATATATCTGACGACCAAGATGAAAGCAAAGATGATTCGGAAATTTTTAATGACAACGAAGAGGTTTTCCATGAAAAACTGAAAACATGGGCATTGACTCATAAAATTACTCACCGAGCACTTAATGATTTATTAAGACTACTGAATACATCGATTAATGTAGGTCAGAAACGACATTTATTACCTGTTGACAGTCATACTTTATTACAAACGCCAAGAGTTATCAAAATTGAACATATGGGACCAGATTCTGATGGA